CACGAACCGGGGGGTGGGGGAGAAACCATGAACTGGACTGGGTTGTGGTTTGGGGATCCCATTTTGCCAAAATGAAGGAAAGATTATAAAATCCTCCCCGGCCCGAGCACTTCATCTTGCTTCAGCAAAATGAGATGCCAGCCCCTTCCCTTGCCACCTCCCTACTTTGTCTTGAAGCCGCCACCTCCGCTGCCCCCATCCTGAGAGGCAACAGGCCCAGGTCCTCACACGGAAGCCGGGCCTGCTGCTTCTGTGCAGGCGTCTGTCGCTCAGCTGACAGGCAGACACAAGGAGCCAGGCCTGCTGCCTCTTAGGATGGCGGCAGCAGCAGAGGCGTCAAGACAAGAGAAGGAGGCACTGGAAGCAAGAACAGGGAGAGAGGCAGGCAGTTCCCCCATGGCACAAACCCGAAAAATGAACCACAAACTGGCTCATTTTTCAGAGGGTTTGTGATAGTTTGTGGTTTGTGGGTAACCACAAACCATCACAAACCACAGTTTTTTCTTTTCTTTTTTCTTTTTTCTCTTTTTTTCTTATTTATTCATCCCCATCTCTACTCACAGCCTACATTTAATCGCAACAGTTTCAGGTAGCCGGCCCATGGTTCACTCCTTCTGAGGTCGGCAAACTGAGTACCCAGCTCCTATATAAGCAGCACACTTTGCTGCTGGAGAGTTCCTCCAGCTGGTCTTGCTAGCAAGAGCTTCCAAGTTCAGAACATGTAGAGGCTGTAATCCTGTTGCACAGTATAGTAAGTCACATTAGAGGAGACCCATTGAATCAGTGAGGATTTGGTGAGACAATTCCCCTATAAGATCAATTGATTCAAAGGGGCTCATTCTGGTTGTGACTTTCTTTATTGTAGCAGGTCACAACTAGAGTAGGCCCATTTGAATCGATGGAGCATACAGAGGAACTGAATCTGCAAGTACTCAGTGATTCAATGGACCTATTCCTGTGTCACCTGCTGTGCAAAGCAAGAAGATTTCTGCCCAATTTTTGGAATTCTAACTCTTTAGATCACTCTTTGAACCTGACAGCACTAGTTGTGTGCATTTGAAAAATGCTGATTTGGATGATGTAAAATAGGTGATTTTCATGGGAACTACAGAACCAACAGTTCATTTTGTTTATCTCTCTGTAGGCAGGCTGCCAAAGGGGGGCAACACTCACATTTTAGAGCCCTTTTTACTTTCTGAACTTATTTACTTTGTATTATTTGTACAGGATACTTAAGTTGTGACATACACAATGATTTATTGTTTACCACAGAAATCTAAATGCCAGTCGAACAAGCAATGGAAGGTGGGATGGCAGAAATTTAAAAAACAAAATTCATGTTTACTTTCAAAATGACTGGAATACGCAGGTGCAAAAATTATGCACTTGCATATTACAGTCATTTTAATTTCTCTTGGTCATATAAGGTCTAAGTCAAACGATGTTAAAGTTCCAGAACAGTTTTGTTATCGGTAATTGCAGGACAAAGTTCCAAACAGAGTAGTCCTACAATTAGCTGGAATTTTTAGCATGTGTACATTACTGAAACAGTGATGTCTACGTTGGCTTGGGCACGTCGTGAGAATGGCTGATGGTCGGATTCCAAAGGATCTCCTGTATGGAGAATTAGTGCAGGGAAACCACCTCAAAGGGAGACCACAGCTGTGATACATGGACATCTGCAAGCGGGATCTGAAGGCCTTAGGAATGGACCTCAACAGATGGGAAACCCTGACATCTGAGCGTTCAGCCTGGAGTCAGGCATTGCATCAACCTCTCACAATTTGAAGAGACTCTTGTCCAGCAGGCCAAGGCAAAGAGGAAGTCACAAAAGCAGCAAAATCAGGGAGCTGGACAGGGGACAGATTGGATTTGTCTTCAGTGTGGCAGGGATTGTCACTCTCAAATCGGCCTCCTCAGTCACACTATACGCTGTTCCAAGTCCTCCATACAGAGCACGTTACCATAGTCTTTCGAGACTGAAGGATGCCTAACTAATTGCTTTATAATCCAAACCTACATGTGTACTTAGAAGTAAGCACCATTGTGTTCAAGAGGATTCATTCTCATTGGACAACTGCATACAGGAGAGCAGCCTTAAATTTTTCATTTAAACCACCCTTCTGGATAACATTAACTATATATGCTTTCATGCTGTGTGAAAATCCAATGAAAAGTAAACACAATAATACAACAGAACATCAAACAAAATCAACACCCTTACTGAGCATGTAAGGACAAATGTTCTCCTGAGCTCCACAAAATTTAAGCAAACTTCTTTCAGATTGTTCACCTCAAATATTTTCAGTTCAGGGCCTAAGACAGGCATGCCAGCCAAAATAAAGTCTGGAAAGGGAGGGTACAAATATGGTAATACAGTTATCAGAAGTACTAATGTGCAGCAGATTAGCAGCAGAATCTCAACATAGCAGGATTGGTCTGAAGAAGCAGCTCTCCTTGCACTGTTTTAAAAGACAATAGTACTCATCTAGAGAAGTAGAAATTGCTTTATTACTATGAAAACAAAATTAAACCTTGAAAAGAAATCCTCGAACTACTGTGATGATGGACAGGTAGAGAATGGTGCCATTTGTAATAGGCACTATCCAGTACCGGTCCTTAAGTGAGATACTCCCCTACCCCCCCACACACTTTGGGATTTTTCCTAGGGGCAGTAGAATGAAACCCTTCTTATCTGCATAAGCAGAACATGACACATTAAAAAAAAACATAGCAAGAGAGGAAGAATGACCATGGGCACTGAAGGAAATAACAAAAGTAATACCACGTGCAAGCCTCTGAAATGGCATCAGTCTATCTACAACCAGGTCATGTTGCTCAGTATTTTGTTTGTTGTTATTATTACAGTTTTGTTATTATTTTAATGTTGAATGTCTTGTTCATGTAACAAGAATTTTAAGACTCTGAAAAATCAAATTTGGAAATTCTAAAAAAACCTGACAAAACAAAGAGGAAGACATTCAAGGGAGAGGTTAAGACTTGTAAGCACATTAAATGTCGAAACATTCATGTATCTGTCGGATACCTTAGTGGTTTAGGTATCTAGCTGTGGGGCCAGAGGTTGGGAGTTTGATTCCCTATTGACAGAGGCTCGACCTAATGATCCACAGGTCCAAGATCATTATTATTGCATTTGTCTATCTAAGTACAGAAAAGGTAGGTCTGAAAGCACCAAGACAGGTTACAAAGCTACATGCAGGAACAGGGGAAATTCTGTTCCAGAAGCCTCTGTTGGCAGTACATGCTTATTCATCAATATCAAGTCTCACTACAACCAAAGTTGCATTAACTCTTCTTGGTGGCACCAATTCCTGACTGGTTGGAATAAAATGACTGCCTCCAGCAGTGTCCACTAAAGGCTCTTTGGTCTAACAGAGGCTTTTAGGAGTAGAAGTGGGCAGAGAGGCAAACCGGCTTTGGGGACATGGGAAAGACTGAAGGAAACTGGATGGGAAAAGGAGATATTGGTGAGCCTACTCCATGGAGATTCCCAAAAAGCATCAGATCAAAGCCTCTTCTATGAGTGGAAGGAAACAGTTCTATACAATTGTTCTGTACTATCTGTATTGTGCCGAATACCATAATGAACACGGTTAGGCTTTCTTTTGGTACTTTTTGAGAGGGCATGTTTCCACAGACATTAAGAAATGAGGTGAGTGATCTCAGCAGCGCCAAGGGCTATGTTTCCGATTTGCCAGCTGCCTGAGGGCCACATTTCCAGTTTGCACAGTTCTTTCTTTCCTTCTTTTTAATTTTTGAATGCAGTGATTCTGTGTCATGAAGTTTGTTACAATGTCCCTTGGGAAACGGGAAAATGGGTTTAGTTTTTACCTCCCCCCCCCAAAATTTTTTATTTACAAAACTGAAAATGCCCCGTTCTACTTTCTAGGGGCCAAAAATAAAAAAAGTGTTGCTGCAGCTGCCGTAGAACATGGAAAAATAGACCTCTAGAAAGCAAAAAGAGAATTTTTGATCAAAAGAGAAAAATAGGGGATATGTTGGAGCCCTCAAGGATTCTGAGGGGCTGTAAAAATGGTTCTGGGCTGTACCTTGCCAACTCCTTTCTACAAGTATTACTCACAGCAGTGGAAATGCGGAAACTCAAGTAGTAATCTTTGGAGAAATTAAATTCCGAGAAACTTGTGTTTCTTTCAAATTGCTTTTCAAATTTTACCTGTAGCAAGTCAGCCACTCTGAAACATTATGTAAAACATTTCACAGGTAATGTTACTGTACTGGCCAGTATAATCTGCCTCATATTATGCTTGCTTTGTTTCCCTGTTGAATTTATATTATATCTTTCCCACAAAAATAAGACACAGAGCAGCTAACAATAAAAAAAACATGAATTAAAAAAGAAAGAAAGAAAGAGAAAGTTTGCATTGACACAATGCCCACCAGAGCTGCTGGACCAAAGACCAAGAACATATTCCAAGACAATCCAATATAATTTCTGGAAACCTCTTGTAATACTAAAGAAGCAACCTTTGAATTATTGCCAGGTTTAATATTTGAAGGCACATGAGATATTTATTCTACGTATCAAAATGTCTCATTCATTTGAAAAAAAAGTTAGCAACTTCTGTTCATTCTTATTCATTCCAAATCCACCTGTGTACTACAGTGAACAGAGTTAATCCACCTAGTATTTCTTCAGATAGTCTGTACCTCTAGGGGCAAACACAATGAGCACAAATAGATATTTATACTCTCTCTGTTGTCCCTCCTTGAATATTGTTCTACTACAACAAGGATTTCTGTTAGATAACTATTATTACTATAGTCTGTAATATGATTTTGTGGTGCTTATTTTTCAAAGCCTGAGTTTATATTTCATCTTTGAATCCCCTAGGTGTAAAAAGCCTACCTTCTGTGAACATTGCATTTTTTGTTCCTTTTGGTGGGTTACAAGAAACAGAAAGAAAAATGGAAAAACGATCAGAAAAGGATACCAGGTTCAGAATGTGGCTTCCACTTACCATGGTGACTCATGACTTGCCCAGCAGCCTCTATACTGACATTCTGCAGGTAGTTGTGACAGCGTTCCTTGTGTTCCTCTAAAGAACTGCGTTGCTTGTAACTCCGTCCACAGTAATTACATTTGTGAGGTTTACCCACTGTGGAAAGAACCAAGGCTTATGTTAAGTCATTCTGCCAGCACACTTTCCAATGGCATTCTGATATTATAGAAACAGAGTAGGAAAACATCTACAAGTTATTCCACCCTCTAACCTTTGCTCACTTCCCTTTTCTCTACCTCAGTGCACCATGACATTAGCAGGCTTTCACCCACACCATGATAAGAGCAGCTATGAAATGTTGCAGAACTACGCTGTACACCATGCAGCTGGCTAAAACAAGTTTGCATACAACCACAAGGGAATGTTCCTTTACACTGAAAAAAGATGAGACACAAATCCCAAGATAAGATACAGATAAAAGCTTCTCAGCAGCTATGAAATGTTGCAGAACTACGCTGTACACCATGCAGCTGGCTAAAACAAGTTTGTTCCTTTACAATGAAAAAAAATGAGACACAAGTCCCAAGACAAGATACAGATAAAAGCTTCTCTGGGAAGCTCTAGTGGACAGCTGGTTTAACATAGCTATGGGCATGAAGAATTTAAGCATTTCACCACCACCTCTGCTGGCCAGGATTTCTGGGAGTTGAAGTCCAAGAACATTTGGAGGCCCAAGGTTGGGGACCACTGCTCTAGTGGACAGCTGGTTTAATATAGCTATGGGCATGAAGAATTTAAGCATGATGTAGGTGATCATAGTAAAATATTAGATTCCAAACAGCTATGCAAAGCCAGATGGAGAGAGGAATGGATGCAGGTCTGTTGATAGGAGCTGAGGGCATCTTATTCTGAGGACACTCCACAGAAGACATCTCAGATTTACAGAGCAGCAGTTCCTAATGTTGGGTACCCAAATGTTCTTGGTCTACAAATTTCAGAAATCTTGGCCAGCACAGCTAGTGGTGAAGGCTTCTGGGAGTTTTAGTCCAAGAACGTATGGGGACTCAGCGTTGGCAATCATTGCTTTAGAGAGCAGCTAGTGGTGAAGGCTTCTGGGAGTTATGTCCAAGAGCGTATGGGGACTCAGCGTTGGCAACTATTGCTTTAGAGGAATTCTCAATAGGCAAAATCCTCTCCTCCACTTTGTGTCTCCTGTAGTTGGGCTACAATTTCACAAATGCACTAGTCCACATTCCCAGTGCAACCAACATTAAAGAAAGGAACATTAAGTGAGGAAACACAGATGGAACAACCCTCCAAGCTTCTTTTGATTTTTTTAAAAATAAAGCACAAATGATATTTCCTCTCTTGCTCGTTTTCAAGTGTCATGGAAGGAAGAATGTACATGTCTCCCATCTGGGATAGGCCCACCTCTCACTTTGCACACAGTCCCAACTAACAGAGGTGCCAGTCCTCCAGAATGCACTAAGCAAGCCTAAGAATGCCTTTTAATGTTGAATATACCAGCCCTGAACCCCCACCCCCAAGGATAAACAATAGAAGGGAACAATCTTTGATCATCTGATAGATACTCCGATCAAATTTAGCTTTTAAATTTGATTCAGAGACATACAAAACATTTTTTATCAACTCAAATGTCTTTAATTTCTTTCTACTTGTTTGGGAACAGATCACTAGCTGAATGCAAATTTCATTCAATATCGTGGAAATGCTAGTTTGAAATGCTGTTCAAAGCACAGCAATGAAAGTAAACAACATGGTACCTCCTAACATTTCACCACTGAAACCCTTCAATTATTATTCCGTGTTTGTAATGTCTGTTCTGAAACTATAGATAAGTACCCCATCTTCAGCACCTAGCTAGAAAAGTCTCCTTTCCCTGATACCTCTGTTTTCATTTGCCTGACAAGATTTTCTGCTGAAGTGTTATAGTACTATTAAGGTAAGGCTTCCTTTTTATATCTATAATTTAAGAATGTTTAATATGTCATTTAATCTCAGCATAGATACAAAAGAATTGAAATGTCTGGAATTAAAACAATGTGTAGCATTGTGCACTGCCTATCTAAACAGCTGTTAAGGCCAAGAAGATGCAGTGGAAGGTCGTGAATTCATGCTTCTTCTCTTGCCCATTGTCAAGCAATGTTCCCTCTACAGTATTTTTCATTCCTGCTGCACAGAAAACTCACCCCATGTGTGTGTAGAGGAGTAGGGCTTCATCTGAAACAGGAAGTAAACAAGCCAGCTGCCGGCTGCCTGTGAGCAGTCCCGATGGAGCTCTGCATGTGTGCGTGCTCCTTAGAAGGAACATTGCTGTCAAGTATCATGGAAGACACTTTTAAAAAAGCATTTCCAAAATCTCAGTAGGGGTCATGTAAAGATAGAGATGTACCAGAGACATATACTAAAAGAACAGTTGGACTGTGTAGGTGTCTGATTTTTATCACAAAATCCAATCTAATTCAGACTGAAAATATTCAGTAATGCATAATTGGAACCAGGACAAGCATTTGTCTGCAGGGGGTGGCCAGTATTTTACCACTGAAAATGAAATGTTGCTAATTGTTTACACAAAAACAGATTAATTAAAAGCTATTCTGTCAGCTTGAATGTTAAATGAATATGCTGAGCATTTCAGCTTTCAACTATACCTTTTAAAAATACCCTTCTTTTAACTCCCGATCTCCATCTGTCTCCTTCATTGCACCCTGCAGGACTAGTGAACATAACCAACTCAAAGGAACTTCTCACTGATCAATCTAGATTAAGATTCTCTGAATTTAAGAAAACTGATATTAAAAAAACCCGACTTTATGTATTTGCAAACGAGGGACTTAATTGCTTTGCTACCACACACCACACCTACAGAAGTTACAGCTATTAAATAGTTCCTTCCTTCAGTACAACTCTGAACAAGACCCTCATTCTTTGAGTCTCTGTGTCTCATTGGCCAAAATCCTATCAGGTAAGCCTGCTGGTTTAACACAACTGGTATAAATCTCAGCGATGAACTGCCTCAAGTTAAGGAGTTAGCCTAGGCATTTGCTGTTGCGTGTTGAATGGCATGACACCATACATAACAGCAAATGCCCAGGCGAGCTTCTTAACTTAGGTCACTTTGCCAGCAAGATTTATGCCAATTATATTGCCAGTCGGCATACCTAACCAGACTTTAGCCAATGAGTTAGAATTATACAAAGTCTGATGAATTTACCTTCCACGAAATTCATTTTATTGAATCCATTGAACTCAATGAGATATAACTTGAGTCATAGCTACTTTTTCCATTAGTTTAATCCAACCTATTGTGTGAATGCCACATAACTTTTGAAACATGATTCAACCTCGTATTTGCTTTCAGGAAATCCTCATTTTTATTGTACAAGAGCATTTCTCAATCTGTGATTGAGCATCACCAGTGAGACCCAGCCTACTTTCAGATTTCTGACCTCCCATCTGAAAATAGTGCTCCAGCCTACCTACTACCACTAGGAGAGGAAAGAATGAGAAGAACTGACAGTGTGAAGTGGCAGGTTATAAATTAAGTGTGAACAGAGAATGGGAGAAGAAATGGAAAGATGACTACCAACACTCTGAGAAATGTGGCGGTGTTTGGGAAGCAGAACAAAATACAGCATCCTGTGCTTAGAGTGTCTGGATCAGCAAATTCTGCCTGAAACAGAGAAGCTGGCTAATGATACTTCCAGAGCTAATGACAAGGATCCCACTGGATATTTATGTGCCTGCAGGAGCCACTGTGGAAATTGTTGACCCTAACTGATGAGGTTCCAGCTGCATGTGGGTTGCATGTCCAGTTTTGCACTTGATTGTGCACACATCTAGCACCTTGTCAAATAGCCACAAATTAGCAGTAGGAATATTCATGATTCTTTTTGCATGTGCCTAAGCATCCAACAGAATTTTGGTCAATGTCTATAACAAACCAATAGAATTTTGAATTACAGAAGTCCATGCTGCAAGGAAATCACAAGGCAAATGATTTAACAATTTTCGAAGAGGGATTGGATATCCTATCAGTAAGCGAAGCCTGATAATGCCAAATTCTACCTCCCTCTACAATCATGTGGCAACTCTTCTTCTGTTTCTTGATTGTTGAGACACAATCCTTTCCAGGGCCTTTCTCAAAAGGTCCAGAGCGTAGCAAGTTTGAAAATCAATAATACTAATGCTTACACCATCTGGATATATCCAAATTTACATATTGTGAGTCACCTTGAAAACAGAAATGCGGAAGAGTTGAATAAAGAAATTATTCAAACAAAAGGGATGAACAAACAAGCAAATAAATAAACAAGCACAGCATAGAGACACTCGGCTAAAAGAATTAAGATCAAGTATTAAAACTTAATACAATACTAGCAGAATACTTACTATCTTAATGCATTATTTGATATCATATTAATATTTAATATAAATAAATACGATCAAATCAACTGTGGCTTTTTTCCTTTCCCATTCTGATTGTTTATTAGTTTTATTAGGTGTTTAGTTACTGTATTTTATCACTGGTGGTTTTAATGTTGTTATGTGCCCTGGGATTTCTATGAAGTATGGGATGTAAATAGAACTAAATAAGTACATAAAATAATTGGATCAATATAAAATATCACAATGGATAATATTAGTTTTGACCTCATACTCTTATATTACTCTGCAAAGTGAATGGCCATTGTTTCTAAATCAAATAATTAAGAATACAGGGCTCCAGACTCATATCTAGGTTGCAATCCTGCAATCCAATAAATGTGTTCCAGAGACCAGAGCAAGGGAGGATCTTCCCTTCAGAAGTTTTTGACAACATCCAATGAAGCTCTAGCCCTGGAGGGGAAGTAGGGACATGAGATGTCCCATCCTGGTGTCTTCCAGCTACTGCAGTATTTTTCCATGGCTGCCCTGCTCCAGGTCAAAACTCCAGCCTCAAAGTGAGGCTAAAATGGGTGTACTTTTTAGGTGAAGAGGGAGATAATCTTTATCCATTTGATCTACAGCTCCCAATCACACCCTTGACATGAACAGAAATATAAATTCACTTCAGAGCATATTTAACTTAGTTCATGTCCACGGCTTGCTTGCTTTTTTGTTTTATGGAAACCTCACCTCTGCTCATGAATTAT